CTAGATAATCTTTGATATATATATAATTTTATTTCAATTTATGTTTATTCAAGCATAAGAGAAGTATAAATCATCTTTATTTATACAAATTTTATATTTAATTATGATATAGAATTTTACATCTTTGATATAACACATCATAAAAAAATTTCTGATTTTATTACATATTTCTTTATTTTTAAAATTTTATTCACGTGCACCGTATGCACGTGTATTTACGCTAGTACACTATAAATGTGAGAAAGCTGGGCAGTTTCTTACCTCCATGGTTGAATAGTTTAGCATTACCCTTTGTAGTTTAACGGGTCATTTTAAATCACCCTTATACATTTTAGACTAGAAGTTTCTAATCATCCAGGTTATCAATGAAATACATCAACCCACAGCATTTCCATAAGACAAAAATATTTTTGGCATAATATGTTTATAAGGTTCAGGCAATACTAACAATGTGGTAGCTAAAACTCATTGCAAAATATGAAAATTCTAGGAAATTCCATCTTTTAGCTTAACTGTTAAAGAATATTGTGAACCTGAGTCATGCTTATCTTCGCCCAATTCTCTATATCAATGGCGGATCAAATTAAAGATTAGGAAGCCCGTCTGTAGGTTATGAAAGTGCTCATAAAGATCCAGAAAATGGGTAACAATTTGTTAGTTCCGGATAACCTCCTATCTGCTCTCGGCCATCAAAAAATTAATTTTCAAGATTAGTTCAGCATCTATCTTGGAGCACCTAACAAGCTACAACTTGACAATGAGTTTAGTGATACCATAATCATCAGGAACACCTAAAGAAATGTTGCCAGGATTCCTTACACAGTGCTGATTCCATTAAAAAAAAATATTAAGAAAGTGTACTGAAGGCAATACTAAAAAAAAAAAGAGAGAATTGTTTGTACTTGAAAGCGCAAGTTGTAAAAGGGCCAATATCAAACTGCAAAGGTTTTAGAAAATCAATTTCGAACTGGAAAAGAACACTTGCGATGTCATTTGAATGGAGGAAGTTCGACGTTTGTGGCTTAATGGAAGGCTGGAGTAGCAACCAGTTGAACGTCAGTAGCAACCAGTTGAAGGAGAGCATAACAATGCATTGCTCAAGCTGGAAGATTTCTCAGCTGATTAGTTAAAATTCATCTAGCTGTGTATAAGTGATAGTTCCAATTCAAGCATCCTAGAAGATTTGTCATTTGTATAACAAAAAATGGACAACTTATTGATGATTCATGATGACCTTTATGATAGAAATGTTGCAGCAAATAATCAACATTTTGATGCATTTCTGAAAGAAGAGGGCCTAATAGTACCGATGAAATGCTGTGATAAATATGCAAATAGGAATAGTGGTGATACGTCATCGAAAATTGTTTTGATCAGAACGAATCTCGAGGCATATTCAAGTTGGAAACTTTCAAATTTAAATTTGGGATAATTTGAATTCCAATTTCAGCAAACTTATAATCAAACTGAACATCTCAAAGAAACGAACCTAAAGACACCAAAATCAGTCCAACCCAAGCCCAAATGAGTCCAAATCGGGGGCCCATACCACATTTGGAATGGAAAAATCAATATGACAAAATGATATCTAAATATGGCATGCTTATATTCAAATCAAGCGGCTCGGCAAGACGAATCCAACGAGCATAAAATCGCTGAATTTTGACATCGTTAAGGCACTTAAACAGTTGAAAAACTCTCTATAATCGAGGGAATCAATATGAGTCATCCGATGGAGCACTCCGAACCTGCCTCGAATCTTCTCTATATTAACGGGGTGTGAGACTCATGCAAATCTATAAATAGAATCCTACTGTCAACATAAGGAGGGGGAGGGAGCTAGAGATTGGAGAGAGCTATGAAACGTCAAGAGCTCCAGCACCACCGCCTGGCCGCCGACCATCGTCGGACTTTCGCCCGACTGCTGTTGGAACACTTACCAGATGCCGACCTCCGCCGGACTTCCACCCGGCAGCCGACCGCCGCCGGACTTCAACCCGACCGCCGATTTTCACTGCATCATCGCTCGGCCGCCGACCGCCATCGGACTTCAGCTCGACTTCTGTTGGACCACAGCCCGGCTGCCGAACACCGCCAGACTTCCACCCGACCGTCGGACTTTAGCCCGATTGCCGTCAGACCACCGTCCGAATGCCGACTACTGCATGACTTCCACCATGCCACCGACCGCCGTCGGACTTCTGTCAGACTGCCGACTGATAAATGCCCAATGCCGGACCACCGCCCGAAGCCGAAGTTCTATCGGACCACCACTTGACGCCGGAGTTCCGCCGAACCACCTCCTGACGCCAGAGTTCCGCCATACCACTGACTGATGCCGAAGTTTTGCCAAACCACCACCGGACCACCGACTGAGGCCCGAACTTTCTCCAGACCACCAATAGAAGTCGGAGTTCCGCCAGACCACCGAATAATGCCCGGACTTCCGTCGAACCATCTCCTTACAACAACAGTCTTTCTGACCCATGTTTCTTGCCGACTATGGTCCTTCCGACCTCCTTCATCTACATTGATCCTTCCAATCTCCGTCGCCGACTATGGTCCTTTCGATCTCCCTTGCTAGATAATTGTCTTTCCAGCCTCTGTCGCCTACGACAGTCCTTCCGACCCCCATCACAAGACAACGGTTTTTCTAACCCCTATCTCCCGCCACCTACTATGGTTAATTCAAAATTTAAAAAAAAAATTAAAAATGATTAATTTAAAATTCAATCTACCTCGGGAAAATAAGAACCTTAAGCTTGTGAGGGCGGGGTTTGCACCTATTTTCCTGAGCAAGAACATTTCTAAATGATAGATGGATCATGAATGAGCAATAAGACAAGCTAGTAGCCCCATATTGTATAAAGAAATTGTACCTTGAGTGCTCTTACGCTTCGCTTGGAGTGGCTTTCTTACTACTTCTTAAAGCAATTTTTTTATTACTTGATGCATAAGAACTAGTTTCCTCTTGCGTGTGCAGATGAACTAGTGATTTTCTCTATTATATGTCCACCAATAAATGGTGTATGCAGAAGATCTAGAACCGTGTTGAAGGAAGCAATTAGAGATTTTTTTTTTTTCCGGACAAAGGTATAGAAGGGGAAAAGGAATAATAATAATAATAATAATAATAAATTTGACTAGCATAGAGATAAAAAAGATAAGAAAGGATAGAAATAACACATTAGTTTTACTCTGAGTGAAATTGACAAAAAGGATTCATATAACCAAGCATACGTAGCGGAATAAAAATTTGATTTTATTGTTTTTGTTGTTGTTCGAGTGAAATGACACATTAGAGAAAAAAATGTTTCTAAAAGTAAAATTAATTTTTAATTATTGAAATCTTTGAACTCTTTTTTTTAGAAGAAAACTTTTTTTTTTTGTTATAATAAAAATATGTTTCAAAAAGGAAATTCACGTTGCTTTGAATCATTCTGGGTATTTTGCACACACCTCTATGAAGTAATTGGCAAGTTGGAAGCCTTCACATGACATTCTTGATCCTTATTCAAAGCATGCTCATTTGGATTTTGGATTCAGTAAACCTTATGCTCTTTTTACTTTTAATTGAACCTATTTTACTGTTATTTCAATTTATTGAGTAAGCCCTAGTGCAACTACAATAAGCAAACAATTAGTAGATAAATCTCCATTATTTTGTGTCAGCCCATATTCCTAGTTGAGAAGAGCAAAGGAAAATTTGCTTTATGTATATGTCATGCGCGCATTAATCTAGGTTAATGCTATCATTAGGGTTGCAACTTAGTTCAGTCTTGAACAATTTGGCTTAAAGCGAGAATCTACCCTATTAATCGATAATTGGTTTTCATAAGCTGTCCCCAAAAAGAAACATCTTTTGTACTTTAGCCCACAATGAATTAAACCAAGTGCCGATAGTACAAGATGGTCGGAATCTTAGAGTTATGATTTCACCTTCAGAAAGAGAGATGATGATGGAAGAGAAGAGAAGGATGAAATGTGAAGAGGGGAGCAAACTTAAACTAATTTTAAGCCTAACTAATCAATTTTAAGCAAACTTAACTATTACTCAATGCTTGCTTAAGCCTCCAATCATCTAAAGTTATCTTTTATCGAAATGTGTTGTGCCAGAACTGTGCAACTACACCCCAAACAAAGCACTACAAAAATCATTGTGATTGCAATCCTTTTACTCAACACTTATTCTGTGATCAACCAAACAACTACCCCCAATGAGGAATATGCATAAAAGTTATCCCCATCAAGTTCTTTAAGAAGCCAATTGTAAATTTCATCTATTTAAGAAACATTTTGATAAAGAAAAACTGAAGAAAAGAGAGTACAGAAATGTTGTGTCTTAATTCTTATGATTCAACCATGATCTCGGTACAATGACTGCTGATGTGCTCAACTGTGACACTCCAATAAAAAAAAAACTACTATAAGATCAAGGGAGATATAATATGAATTATCTTTTCTCTAAGCACTATCTTCTACAACTAGCATTCTTCAACCTTCGGACTCTAGTAGCTCCACTTCAGTTACCAGTCTAGGTTCATTAAGACAAATCACTTAACGAATTTGAATTTGTTCTATCTTCTACTTTTCTTTTTTTATTTCTTTTTAGATTTACTTCTTCTTTTTTTCTTCTTTCTTTTGGATTTTTATTTCATTTCAATTTTCTTTCGATTCACTTTCATCATTTTGGAAGCCCCATAGGTTTGTTGATTCTGTAAAATCGGACCCATTTTCTCATCAAGCGAGAGGTACGAAAGCAATCAGATTTCCTTTTCGATCAAAAGTACTATGCGAAAATCTTCAATATATTATAAAATCAATGTCAGGTGATTAGCAGGTCATGTAGCCCATTTCTAGTACTTTATTTCACTTGTTTGGGATGCACAAATCTATTAGCAAAATGAATATAGCTAAACTAGTAGAGAACCAAAAATTGGTGGCATGGTCAAAGTATGTGCTTTAACATTTTTATAGACTTAGGCTAAATCTTTAGCTAGTTTATAAGGAACCGAAGAATAAATCTTCTAGATAATGCATATTAACATACCCAAACAAGCTTCATAAACATGGACACATTAGCTTCTTAAATGAAAACCATATCATTTGTAAGGTAATGGAATAATAACAATAATATTTGTAAAGATAAACCAAATGCATAAACTATTTATCGATAATTTTCATCTTGGAAAAAATAGGATCTTCTACCTCAAATGAAAAAGGTCGAGCTACCAAGAGAATTTTCATTCCAGACTCTTGAAAATGGTGCAGGCTATAACGGAAGCTCAGCTTCGAGCTTTGACCAGGAAGCCACAGCAGAGCCTTTCACAACCTTCCTCATGTTATCAACAAGATCCTTGGCCGCAGTAACCTTAGAATCCTTCACCAATTGATTAATGAGAGCTTTCAAGCTTTCAAATGGAGGGACATACTTTCTAATTAAGCATTCCCTGCATATCTCCTCTGCTGAAGCAAAGTCTTCAGTATCCACCAAGCCACGAATAAGCACAACATAGGTATCAGCATTGGGTAAGAACCCTTTCTCCCCTTTGGCTATTTTCATAGATTTCATCCTCTTAAACACCCTGGTCGCAGAATACAAATTTCCTTCTTTGCAAAACCCATCAATTATTGTATTAAAGGTTGAAAGATATGGCCGGATTCCTTTTGAAATCATCACCTCAAGCAGCTCCTCAGCCTTGAAGCTCTCCAACCTCTTACAAAAATTCAATATCCTCAAATTGTATGTGACTACATTAGGAGCAATACCCTTGCAGTTAATCTCCTTCAAAGCGTCGTCAAATCCAACTTTATCTCCTTTATTCAAATAACCACTTAAGATCGCATTGTAAGAAATGACATCAGGTTCCAATCCCTTCTTCGGCATTTCATCGAGCACCTTGCGGGCGTCATCCATTTCACCAGCCACACACAAGGAACTAAGCAAAATATTATGCGCAGCGACGCCAGGTACGATGCCAGACTCACCGGGAACGCGTTCGAAGAGATCGCGAACACGGTCACAGTGCCGATGCTTGAGGAAGGCGGTGAGAAGAGCGCAGAAAGACTTCTCCGTGCGTTCTGTGCCGGGGATCTGCTCAAAGGTTCGAAAAACGTGATCGAGCATCGAAGCGTTAGAATAAAGTGACATTATGCGGATGAAAAAGCCCTCGGATTTGGGTGCGGCAGGATCGGCTTTCTGAGATTCGAGGAGACGCTCGACAAGATCGACGCGGCGATAACGGTAAAGTCTGTTGATGGATATGTCGTAGAGAGGGCGATGAGAATAGAAGCGTGGGAGGTGAGTGGAGGACTGGAAAAGGTCGAAGATCTTCTCTGGGTTGGATTCAGTAAGTAGAGCGGATTTAAGGCGGGCAAGGGCTTTGGAGGGAGAAGGCAAGTTGTGGAGTACAGAAGGAGGAGGAGGAATGTCGAGCGCGGCGGCAGTTGAGAGGCGGCGGCGAAGGAAGAAATTGTAGCTGCTGCGCATGGCTATTGCTTTCGATAGTAGTACAGGACAGGAGCCCTGCGAAGGAAAATGTTGGCGGCTGAAGAGTGAGCAGAGTGCGTGTGGCATCTCCTAGTTTACATTTTCCACCCACATAGGTTTAAGCTGTTTGGTTGGGACCCTCCCCCTCCCATCTCCGGTTCAAATTTCCTTTTATTATTATCTGGTCTCTTTAGTTGTGCAAAGTAAGTGTGGGCTCGATATTGATGGGTGGGCTCGTTAGATTCCGCTGAGAGATTAGTTACGCCGTCAAACACTTCCTTTAGAGTGGCAGTATATAAATACCCTGTTCCAAAAAAAAATTTACATTCTCTTAAAATTTTTTTAAATGATTTCCAATTTTCAAAAAATTAATCATTCTAATTTACAACTATCTCTTAATCACGTATTTAATTTATATTTTAAAATAAATTAAATATTTATTGCAAGCTTATCTTTATAAAGAGCTTATCATAATGTGAAAATATTTTATTTATTATTTGGCTCATTTAAAAATATTTTTTTTCTTAATAGAGTAGAACAAAGAGGTGTGGGTAAATAGAAGTGCAGTTGAACAAAAGGTATGTGTCATCTTATGTATTTTGATGGTGGTATAATGAGGCCTAGTAGTGATCATCTTCATAGAGCCCCAAATTACTAGTTGTCGTCCAATACTAGGGCATCCTTTACCTATAATTTGGTTTTGGCTCCTCAACTATCCTTCAAACTCCTTAGATCTCAACCAAAACTTGTGAGTAAATCTATCTGCAATCTCTTAGCCTTCCAAAGACTCTTCTGCCCCAAAAGAAATCATTAGCCCAAATTAGATACATTGGCTTAATCTTTCTGCAACCTCCACTAAACAACCCTGAACCTGTTGGATCCCATCTAAAGATTTAGATCACATTCCCTAAACTTACCCTAAGGGCATCTCAAACCGAAAATCTCATTTTTCACTCCAAAATGCAGTGAAACCAAAAAGTGTCGTGATTCATCTCCAATCGAACGTCATTTTGCCCCCTAACCATCGCTCTCTTCTTTCGCGTCTTTCTTCCGCAAGTTTGGTAGAGACCAAAAAATGGTGCAGATGAACAGTGCCACGCCAATATTGACATCGCACTATTCATTCGCGATCAAATGGCCGAGGAAAAGGCGTTCGGTTGCAACGTTTGAGGGCCTCCATTCGGTTGTGTTTCAAACGGTTGAAGATGGTATAAAACTTCTATTCATATTAGATACATTGACTACATCTTTGTGAAACCTCTACTAAACAACCCTAAACTTGTTGGATCCCATCTAAAAGTCTCATATCACATTCCCTAAACTTCTCCGAGAACTTCTATTCATATCCACGCCTTAAATTTTCCTCCTTGAGACAGTCCTAAAGGTAAAACTCTATGGGGGTATTAGTATTTAAGTGCAAGTTAATGTAGGCTCTTGTTTGACCATCTTTCTTTGAAGAGTGAGTACGTGTAGCATCTCCTAGTTTACATTATCTACCCACATAGGCTTAGGATGTTTGGTTGGGACCCAATCTCGGGTTCAAATTCCCTTTATTATTATCTCGTCTTTTTAGTGGTGCAAAGTAAGTGTGGGCTCGATATCGGTGGGTGGGCTCGTTAGATTCCGCTGAGAGATTAGTAACGCCGTCAAGCACTCCCTTTAGAGTGGCAGCATGTAGATACCCGTTCCAAAACAAAATAGTGTACATTCTCTTAAATTTTTTTTAAATGATTTCCAATTTTTAAAAAATTAATCATTCTAATTTACGACTATCTCTTAATCTCGTATTTAATTTGTATTTTAAAATTAGTTAAATGTTTATTTTAAACTTATTTTTATAAAGAGCTGATCATAATCTGAAAATATTTTATTTATTATTTGGCTCATTTAAAAATATTTTTTTCTTAATAGAGTAGAACAAAGAGGTGTGGGTAAATAGAAGTGCAGTTGAACAAAAGGTATGTGTCATCTTATGTATTTTGATGGTGGTATAATGGGCGAATTATTGCATCCAGTCACCTGACATCCGGACAACCAATCCAGATGTGTCACATCACCCAAATACATTGGGGCCCGATGTATTTTGGTGATGTGTCGCGTCTGGATTGGTGTCCGGACGAATCCGGACTCCAGACGCAATAATTTGCCTGTATAATGAGGTCGGGTTGTGATCATCTTCATATAGCCCCAAATTACTAGTTGTCGTCCAATACTAGGGCATCCTTTACCTAATTTGGCTTTCGCTCCTAAACTATCTTTCAAACTCCTTAGATCTCAACCAAAACTTGTGAGTAAATCTATCTGCAATCTCTTAGCCTTCCAAAGACTCTTCTGCCCCAAACGAAATCATCAGAACCACCTTCCAACAATTTTTTTTTTTTTTTTTTTTTTTTTTTTTTTGCATTGCAAAAATTAGCCCAAATTAGATACATTGACTTAATCTTTCTGCAACCTCCACTAAACAACCCTGAACCTGTTGGATCCTATCTAAAGATTTAGATCACATTCCCTAAACTTCCCCTAAGGGCATCTCCAACCGAAAATCTCATTTTTCACTCCAAAATACAGTGAAACCAAAAAGTGCCGTGATTCACTCCAATCGAATGCCATTTTGCTCCCTAACTGTCGCTCTCTTCTTTCGCGTCTTTCTTCCGCAAGATCGGTAGAGACCAAAAAATGGTGCAGATGAACAGTGTAACGCCAATATTAGCGTCGCACTGTTCATTAGCGATCAAATGGCGAAGGAAAAGACGTTTGGTTGCGACATTTGAGGGCCTCCATTCGGTTGTTTGCCGAACGGTTGAAATGGTCTAAAACTTCTATTCATATTAGATACATTGACTACATCTTTGTGAAACCTCTACTAAACAACCCTAAACTTGTTGGATCCCATCTAAAAGTCTCATATCACATTGCCTAAACTTCTCCGAGAACTTCTATTCATATCCATGCCTTAAATTTCCCTCCTTGAGACAGTCCTAAAGGTAAAACTCTATGGGGGTATTTAAGTGCAAGTTTAGGTAGGCTCTTGGTTGACCATCTTTCTTTGGCCTACGCCGCATATAAAAATTTCCCAATCATCTAAGGTGTTCCCCGCACTCTTGAACACCCACCATAATGATTGAAAGCATTAGAACCATACCTCAAAGGCTAGATCAAAAAAGAGTTTCATACAAAAATTTCATGTAAATAGATAAGATACATGATTTGGTAAGAATAGCAAATCTTATGAAACCTCACATAAAAACTCATTAAAACTTTGGAATTATTACTATAGAAAATATATTTTGATATATTGAATGTCATGGAGCCCTAAGGAATATAACTCCTCAAGTTAATCATCTCTTATAAATCTTCAATAATACTTTCGATTAAGAAATTATGCTTGTGTTATGATTTTAGCCTAGGTATGCTAAGAGAATCAGCCATAATGATTGTAAAAAGATAATGAATGGGCTTAAGAAAGGCTAGATGGTATCGGCAAGGATAGACACAATTTAATTAAAAAAATATAAATGTAATTAGTTAGAATTTCTGAGAATTTTGTCATCTTAATTATCAAACTCTATATCTACTTAGTCAAGAATGTATTTAAACATTAATAATCATGAATTTTATCTTTCAAAAAAATCTCATAAATCCAAAAATAAATAAATTAAAAGGAGACATACAATTTTTCAACAAAGGTGCTACATAATAGATTTAGAAGGAAAATGAAACCTTTATTTTAACATTGTAAAGAAACTCCTCTAAAGAAATATAACAAAGATAAATTGACTAAATAAGTTAAATAGCTCAATTGGCCTCACAATCTTGCCTAAATTAAGATTATCATCGCTAAACATCTTAAGCATTGCCAAGCAAACATGAAAATCATGATGTTAACTAAATTAAGTATACTCCAAGAGAAATGATGAAGCAATATATATGTCCTTAATATAAGGCTTTTAATTGTACCCAAGATAGTTTAGCCATTGTCATGATCTATGAATTAGCTAGATTTTTATTGATTATGACTTGCATTTGTTAAAAGGCGTATATAGATCAATATGTACACTACTTTTTCACATAAAGAATAATTGAGAAAGTTTAATTTAAAATATATATTCTTGAGAGAGACAATGCATTAACATTAAGAAAAGCTTTTTCTAAAATTGATTTTCGAGTCGATAAAAATTTAATAAGAATATAAAAAGATATTTTACATAAGATCATAATCATAACATAATTCTAGAAAATTAAGGATCATCAAAAAAAGAGAAAGCAAGCGTAAATAAATATATAGATAAATAGTATGCAAATTATAAGAGAAATATCGGGAATACCTACACTCTATAAGCACATCTAGTTAAAAATTTTATAACCGTTTACGTCACCTCCTGCATTCCCTGTGTGAATCCGGCACTTGATCAAACTCCATTGCCCACGCTATTAAAATGAGAGCTCGGAGGTCTCGCTGGTTTTTCTTCTTCCTCCGTCTCTACCTCCAAACTCCAGATCCACGCGCCATCCAGCTTTCGACCTGCATATACCCGGCTTCCTCACATGCCAATCCCAACATCTAATAGAGCTGAATTTCTCACCCGTTCGGGCCAGTCCATCGATTCAAACCCTGTCGACGCCCCACACACAGCTGCAGAGATCTCGTTGAACCCATTTTGGGCTCCTTTCCAGCCAGCCGACTTCACATAACTAATCTACCGCTTCTATAATCAGACTCCACCTCACAGGTGTTCCTACTTCTCTCTGCACCTATCCCACACCTGGCTAATTTTTCGCAACAACAAACTTCCTCCGTTCCTTCAAAACCCTAACAGCAAACCTGACCCAACCTCACATTCCTCCGACTCCCTGCTTCATGAAGGCCACAGACCGTCCATCACTCTCCAGGCAGCTAACCTCATGTTGGTCTTTGATTGGACCCTCTAGCCATTCAATCCTGTCATCCTCGAGTAGCTAAACCCATGCCAACCTCCCCCAGCTACTAACCAACCAAACTCCAAATTATAGTTCTCTCTGTCGTGATATCCTTCTCCTCACCCTAGCCATATTTCACCACCTTACTAATCATCTACATCATCTACAACTCTCCAAATCAACTTCACCATACCTGCCATCTGATCCAATC